GTCGGGTGGTTCGGTAGTTCATTCGTTTTTCTCGCTATTTGCATGAAATCACTCTGTACCCATCCAAATAGCCGAACAGGCTGGTTCGCATGGTCCGTTCAATAAGGGATTTCGTTACAAATATATAAAGTACTAATCAGTCTAATATATCTTAATTCAAAAATTAAGATCGCTATTACTCTGCCATGTATAGTACGTGTATTATAGTGTCACTTTGAGGGTTTTTTTCTAAAAATAAAATCCCCTGAAAACCATATAGGATTTACATCAGCGAGTAAACGTTGTTACAAATTGTTAATCTGCTCCAGATCTGTACTTGGTGTGCTTCCAACTCTGAAATCCAATACAAGATTGAAACAGGCTCTGCTCTGTCCTGCCTGAACAAGTACAGTTACAGGGCTGGATTATTCAATACATATTTCCTATGTATACCATTAACTGAGTGGAAATAATGCAATACAGGTGGTCCTCATTTAGTGACCTACCAGTTTTATGACGGCTCGCACTTACGACCAGGCGTAAGTACGAGCCGTCGTGGGTATTCCCTTCTCTGGTTCTCCTGTCTATTTTCGGTGAAATTTCCCCGAACATGGATTCGATGGGCTCCCTGCTCTGGTGCGTTTGTCTATGTTAAAGGGAATCCTTTAACTCCTCACTTACCGACCAATTCAATCTACAACCGGCTCGTAAGAACGGAACCCGGTCGGTAAGTGAGGAGTGTCTGTAATAATCGAACTGTGCAGCTCTTTTCTTAAAAAGTAGAGGTAGAAAGTGTCAGGTCAAGAAGAGATAGAGGGAGATTGTAGCTAATTAGCTTTTTCCGTTTTTCTCTAGTTTTGTCAGAGCTTGGTCAATGAATGAACCATTAACTATCCATAATCTACTTGGGGATTTAAATATAATTTTGCCTATTTGGAAGCATTGGAATTTCATAAACATTAAATCTCTAGAAATAGGCAAAACTGCTCTATTTTAAAGAAGCAGGGTGTGCTTGTCAGACTCAATCTAAATATTTCGAAATTCTAGTTGAAATATACTATAAATCCAGTATGCAGAAAGCTTATTGTTATATCCTATAGCACTAAAGGGACAATATTTTTTTTTTAAACCAGCAAGCAAAATAATTAAACAAATATACAAACCAAAATTAAGAAAAACTAAGTATGACATAAAAGAAATAGTGTCTCTTCATGTACAACATAGAAACAGGCTTCTCGCCAGACACCTTCACAAACCGCACACAATATAATTAAATGAATATTTATTCCACCATTAAGTGGACACATTTAATGGAGGAATAAATATTCATTTGGTTATATTGTAGTGGTGCTGTTTTATTATTTTTCTACATAAAAAAAAAAAAAAAAATAATAATAATTTCAGACCAGTCCGCTAATCGGAGAAACTTGGCATCAAAGCTGGAGAGAGAAACCTGCCAATAGAGCCTCTTGTGCGTGATTAAAGTGATCAGACTCCATCTCATCTTTCCTGTCACATATTGCAAGGTGGACATATCCTCAACTGTACATGTATATTGTCAGGCTTGCCGAATGAACTTTTCCAGCATTCCTAGGGATAGGACACTGGCTTGATCAGTGGATGGGGAAAAAGAAACTACATATGAAAAAAAAATCATATTTACCTACATTTTTCAGCCTGCATAGTGAGGCAACTGTCTCATTCAAAGAAACAATTGTCTCAAAGTGATTCATGTCCCTTTATGATGCCAATCAGGAAAGTGGGAAAGGGAGGTAGGTTGTGTAAAGCTGCTAGAAAGATGAAATTACACAATAAATTAATTAGATTGAGCAACATTATACATTACATTTTTATTTAATGATTTGGGTCCAGCTTGGTTACGTGCAATATATCCACAAACATGTTTTCATTATTTGCGAAGCTGTGATGAGAAAGGTACCAAGTTTCATATTTGATGGTCCAAAAACTGCAACCATTGTGGCAGAAGAATTTTGAAAATCAAAAGCTTCTGGATTGGCAGGTTCCTTTGGCAGCACATGGCTCTCCTTAAAATATAATACATCATTATCATAAGCAATCATGATAGTAGTAGTTTTCTACATTTTAATAGCTACAATGGCATTATTAGTACTATGGAAATCAAGACTAGCGTATTAGTTTGTTGGTTAAATACCAGAATGTATGGATTAAGTGTGATAAAACTGCCATTCTGGGGTCAAGAAGGACTTTTTTTCCTCGTTTGTTGCAAACTGGAAGTTATCAAACTGTGTTTTTGTTTTGGTTTTTTTGCCTTCTTTTGGATCAACAGCAGAAAACAGATGTAAGGAAGGCTGAACTTGATGGACGCAAGTCTCTCTTCAGCTATGTAACTGTTGAAAAAAAATAGATGGTAAAAAACTGAGGTAAAATGGATATCTGTATCTTAAGCCTCTCTTTTCCACACACATCCCCTGTCCCATTTTATCTGTTTTATTTGTATTGTGGGTAATTTATATTTTCTGTATGTCACATTATATATTGGATTTGTATACTTTTTTATGACTAATGGTTGCCTTGAGAAAGACCGCACCGCAGATGTTTATTATAAAAGGATCATTGACCAGAATGGAAAAAGAGATACTAGTGTCCTATGTCTTTGTTAAACATCACACTGTTTGAGATTTTATAAAGAGAGATACATTTTTGTTATGGCATATGAAGGGGATGTTAACTAATATAATATATTTCATTCGTTGATAAATCCCCAGTTTTAGTAATCCTATGACATATTAAATGTTTATGGAACTATGACTAAGTTGAATGCATTTGATTTTGTACTCACTAATGCTTCTTCCTATTTTTTGTTTAAACAATGTGTGTGTAAAAAAAAAAATACAAATCTATAAATATGGATTGTGCCTACTTTTATAGTTTGCATCAGAAATTATTTTATAGAAAATAAAGGTCTATATAGTACTGTGCATGTTCTCAACATTTTCGATAACCATAATTTGCATTCTGTCTTTGTTCTGATTCACTAAAGCCACCCACCAAATTATGTAGCAATATCCGGCAGGTTTTCTCAAAAATGTAGGGTTCTTTCAAGAGGAAAGTGCATAATAACCCATTTCTATATGATTTCATGTAATATTAGTCTGTCTTTATGTACCATTTCATATAAAACAGATTTTATATTTGCATAGCATGCTGAAATGCGCAACAATGATTTGCATATGATTTATTCTTTATATTGTCTTTTATTACTCAAAGTGCCTTACAGCTTCCAAACTGTTGATCCGTGATATGGAAAAGGAGAAGCTTCATGAAGTATGTGACAAGGAGTTTGAGCTTATACAAAAACGAGCAAATTCCAAAGAATCCTTGGAGGCTATTAAGAATTTTTTCCAAAAGAAGGCAAAGCTGTAATTCTTTCTAAAAATTGACTTTAAAAAGTATCTGCTGGCTGTACGATTGAGGAATTATACTCTGATTTAATTTGCAACCAAGATATCCCATTGCTGTTGTTCATGTGATAATGGGTTACTTATAACTTTGAAATTCCCTTAATGGCATTTTGAATAATTAGTAATAATTTGCACATAATCTTGCAAGTGCAATAAGGAATGTGCACATATATCCTTTATGGTCTCTTATGGCTTCCATATCAATATAATTATAGTCTGCTTTTCTCTATCCAGTACAGGGCTCATTGTTGCTCATCTGAAGTACCTGTTACCTGAGAGAATGAAAAAAACATTGGGTTTCTGCAACCACAAATTTTATTGTGCAGACAACGTCCAATCAAATCCTGCTCAGGACACAGTAATCATCTCTAAAAACATGACATTAGATACTAGTAAATAAAAACCTCAAAAAATAAGATACTGATTATTTTACAGGTTTTGTAAATGAATTAATGCACTGTGTTTGGACATAAGCAACAAAAGGTGTTTATTGTAATGATAAGGTTGCAGATTTTAAACCATGATTGTGTCTTCCTGTAAAGTTTATTTTATTTTTTTTTTTTTATTTTTTTTTTATCTCACACTGGAGCCTTATTACACTAGCAAGCAATGGATACTATCCTAATGTAGATTTGAACAAAAACATCTTCTTTTTCAGGAAGTGTAAATGGAGGCTGTGTGAGTCACAGCCAGACAAGGCGTGATTAGGGCCGCATAAACAAACTGCCTGAACTCCTCAATGGCAGAAAACATGCTCTCCCAGACTCCATAGGCAATCCTCTGCAGCGATATTGCTAACGTGCGAATTCCTAGTTACAATTGAAGGACAGGGAGAAAAATGTAAAGCCAATTGTTACCTATAAGTCCTAGAATACAAATATGGTCCTGTTAGTCATTATCCCTGGCTTTCCCTTACCCCTCAGATCAATGATAGAATTGGGAAGTGAAGAAGAATATTGTGCAACACACCTGACCATGCCATTAACAAGCCTCCTATCCCCTCTTCTCTCTTCCCCGCTTCTTCATATTCTTCCTCACATGTTTATCTTCACTGGAGACACTTAAAACCCCACATTGCTAGCAAAATCACTTTAGATGTTTAAGTGATGGCTTAATAGAAGATGCTTTGTTCACAACAGCAAAGTAGGGTGGCAGGAGATCTTTCAGAAATCTGGAACGAGCGTTGAGTTGATTGTTTAGGGATCTCAAAAATTGTCCCCCCAGATGATAATCAACACCTACAACATCTAAAATTATTTGAATTGAGCACAGATGACCAGTGAATCATGGGAGTTGTAGTTCAATAACATTTATGGGGCCATAATTTGAGATGCCTGGTTTAGAGCTTTGTTGGTCAGTAAAGCTCTCAGTAATCTCACTTTTACAGTGTAGAAAATGGAGAAGCATTATAGAGCATTGGTGTTGCTGTTTGGTCCATAGTCTGGTCATTATATTTTGCACAATGGGCAATGAGGTCCTTTTTAGGGCGTGCTCATTTCAATGAGGTGTAGAGATAATAGATGAGGACACGAATTGCTGTAATTTTTTTCTCTTTAAATATTTATTGAGGTGTTTATGAAACATACTGTAACGGACCGTTTTGCACACAAGAGGTTAAAAACTGTTTAGGCGATATTCCCCTTTCAGATGCACAGAAGCTACTACAAGCACCAATCTCCTGAACTGGAACCACACGAATCCTCCAACTCCCAAACAGGAAACACACGAACACTGGAAACAGCCGAACAGGAAAAGCATACAATTAGCTTACACTCCTGGCAATGAGCATACAATCCAATTCCCCCAATAAAGAGATGACACTTCGTTTTGAGAGTCAAGCAGAATCTGGTTTACTGGGGCTACCTGCCCGGCTTTTATGCAGGTCTCCCACCTGGTGGACACTCCCCTAGGGGACCAGATAGAAGACTGGTATACACATTGGAGATTGACCAATCACAAGCTTACAATCCCACAATGCATCACAATCCCTCCTCTCTCTCCTGGAGATAATTGGGAAGTAATCCAATTATCTCCAAGGACAGAGGCAAAACTCCATTACCCGCATTTCAGACAAAGGACAATAAAAGACATTAAAATATCCAATGTTACACTTACTACACAAAACATATACATTCTACCTATCCCCAGATAGCTTAGATCTGAGCGCACATTATTACCGAATGGCGCTCAGATCACATACATACAGTTCAATCGCCAGGGAGCCAAAGTCTTTCCCATAGTCTTTCGTTACATGAATAGGCTCCATGGCATGGCTATCTGGGGTGATACTGTTCATACGGTTAAACTACTGAATAAACAGGCATTCGGTTACACTACCGAATGCAGAGGTAAGGAGGATGGCGTCTCAGCGGTGTTCGCGCAAATAAGTGTCCGTTTTCAGTTCCATAGTTTTGGCGCTGAACACCGCTGCCCGTTTGGGAGTTAAAATGGGCGCTGCCACATGTTCGGCAAATGAACCAAGGCCACCCAGCGTTCGTCAATTAAGCTGCAGCTTCTGGGTGGTCAATTGACGGCACATTCCAGTTCCCAGGTGGTCGATCATTCGGTACTTTGTTCGGTAGATTTAATCTACCGAACACCCTGGCAGAAAGGCACAAATAAGCCTTTCTGCAGGGAAAATAAAAGATTTTAAATGCCAGGCCGTAGTCTAAAGGGAGGAGGCGAGCAACCAGGCTCCTCCAGTGGACAGTGGCGAGGCTGGTTCCGCCACACATACATTGTAAGGAAAGCATATATAAAGGAGAATTAATGTCCACAGATGCACTATAGCAATTAAGTTCAGTTTATATAAAGTGTTAAAATGCCTAATTTTTGTATTAATAGGTAAAACAGACATGGTATAAATAACTACACATAATAAAGTGGCTGCAATATATACACTAGTATCAAAAACGAGCGTTACTATGAAGAAGTACCTCTATTTGGTAGAATAGGTACGTTCTAAGGCTTACAGGCATAATCAGGGGCGTACTTGGAGCATTTTGTACCCAGGGCGGAGCCTATATTTGGCACCTCCCCCCAACTTTAAAATGTAAAAAAACAACCGCAAATTTTTTTAAATGTATTTAGCACTGAGCAGTGCTTGTATATTTTTAATGTAAGCATGTTTTTGTATGGAGTATGTGTGAGTGAATGTACGGGTGTGTTTGCACGTATTGGCATTTGAATGCAGGCGTGCATATTTCTGTAGTGTGTTTTTTTTTTTAATATGGTGGTGTGTTTTATGTAGTGTTAACATTTGGATGCAGGGTTGTATTTGTTTGTAGTGGAGGTGAAATGCTGAGATGTATGTGTCACGAACGTACCCTACTCCAAGAGTGTGCATGACTTAGTTGTGTTGGTGAAAGGGTTAAAGTTCACTGTTTGTTTGCCAGGGCCGTCTTTAACATTGATTGGACACTGGGCAGGCATTTGTTTGGGCCCCCTAGATCCTGCCATCCCTCGCCCTCCCTCCACACTTTCACTCTCTGGCATGCAATCACGCCCTCCACCCCAACACAGCGGCAGAACTAATGTAGACAGGGCCCTGGTGCAAGACATTGTTTTGAGCCTCCCCTCAAGCGCAAGAACAGAGAAAAGATAGATCCTCATCTGTTGTACAATTAGAGATTATTCTAGCGTCAGTGACCTAATAATCTAAATTTTATTAAAGACAGGAGGCGAATATTTGCTTTACTTCCTTTACTGTTCCTCCCAGCAGCAAAGAAACAGTTAACAGATTGAAAAAAAAAAAGAAACAACCAATCATAACACATCTAGTCATTAATAAGTGGCTGTGAAACTCCTCCCAATTCCTCTTTCTTCATGTAGCCAGAGTGATGTCAACCATGTAAACTGGAACGAATAATCTTAACGAAACTGGAAGTTGGGACAACATATCCTCAACGATGTCGCCATGCAGAGGGGTGAAGGCTCTTTCACACTAGAAAAAAAAAAAAAGAGAGACTCGTGAAAGTATGGTGTGATTGGCAAAGTGCCTACATACAAATGCCTAGTTTGAAAATGTTTTAATGAAAAAACTTCTGGAGTATTACACATATCCCTAGTCATATCTATGTGGATGAAAGAATGAGTTTATGAACCAAAACCAAAACTACAGCAGTATGAACACCCTACCTGTGTATCCCATTCTGGAAGAAAAAGGGAGGGGGACGTGCGAAAAAAGAAAAAGAACAAAACGAAACCTGAGCGCACGTAGGGTGGGAAAATATTCGCCTCCTGTCTTTAATAAAATTTAGATTATTAGGTCACTGACGCTAGAATAATCTCTAATTTTATGGCAAGACAGGAGGCTTCATATTTGCTGTTTTAACGCCCAGAGAGTAAATGAAAACCCGGATGAGCTTGAGGCCGGAAATAAAACGTACGAAAGGTAGATTCCCTTGACCAATCTGCCGAGGTCAAAATATCCGAAAGGGAACTCCCAGAGGTAAAGGCGGAGGATGCGGCCGCGCCCCGTACTGAATGGGCGCCAAAGGGCGGCTCTACGCCCGCAAGGCGGAGGAGCCACCTGATCCACCGAGCAATAGTGGGACAAGACACCGGACGGTGAGGACGAACGTAGGACACAAAAAGAGGTCCCGACGGGGGCCGAAGCGGCGTTGTAAGAGTAATGTACCGTTGTAAACAAAGGGCAACACACAGAGAAGGTCTGTCTGGGAAGTATGGATAAAAGACGGAGGTTGTTGGAATCTTAGTGCGACGGACAACAGAGAAGCGTACTCCCTCGGGAGTGAAAGTAATTGCATGAAGGTCGAAGGCTTTGATGTCGGAAACCCGACGTAGAGAAATCAAGCAAAGTAGCAGGGCTAACTTGGCAGAGAGTTGGCGTAAGGATAGCTCTGAGTTGGGAGGCCAGGTCTCCAGAAAGGATAAGACTTGTGCCACATCCCAAAAATGGGTGTAACGGGGTGCCGGAGGTCTGGAAAGACGGATACCCCGTAGGAGCCTGCACACGGAAGGGTGTTGTCCGACAGGGAGTGTATTGATCGGACTATGAGCAGCCGAGATGGCAGAGCGGAAAAGGTTTATAGTACGATAAGATTTGCCACCGTCAAAAAGAGAGGACAGAAAATTCATAATATTCACCAGAGTCGTTGAAAAGGGATCAATATCCCTTTCCAAACACCAGCGAGCCCAGGCTGACCACGCCGAAAGGTATGACTTTCGGGTGCCTGGGGCCCATGAATCCCAGAGGAGGTTGCGAGCTGAGCCTGAAAGGCCCGGGACGAACCAGGATCCCCTGAAACGGTCCAGGCCACCAGTTGGAGGTGTCCCTGGATGGCCAGGGGATGATATGTTCCGAATGGATCTCGGAGAAGGTCTGGGGTGAGGGGTAAAAGCAGAGGGTAGTCTGCGGACATCTCTAAGAGGTTGGGGTACCAGGGTTGGGCTCTCCAGAGGGGAGTTATTAACAGGATCCCGACTCCCAGAATCCTGAGACGGTGTAGAGTGCGAGGGATCAGGGAGAACGGTGGGAAGGCGTATGCTCCTGTCAATGGCCAGGGTTGTAAAAAAGCGTCTACGGCTTGGGACAGCGGATCCGGTAGCCAGCTGAAGAATGCGTCCGTCTGACGGTTCAGTCTGGAGGCAAAGAGGTCCAACGTGATGGGCCCGCGAAGGTGATGTAGCTGGTAGAAGACATTCGGATCCAGCTGCCAATCGCTGGCGTCCCTCCAGTGACGGGAGAACCAGTCCGCCACGAGGTTGTCTGACCCGGGAAGGTATTCTGCTTGAAGGGAGATATTCCTCCCTAGACAGAACTGATAGAGTTCCCTGGTAAGGTCTGATAGGAGCTTGGAGCGGGAGCCTCCAAGACGATTGACATAACGGACAGCGGAGACATTGTCCATCCTCAGAATTAGAGAGCAGTCGTAAACGTCTTTGGCGAAACTGCGAATCGCAAAAGCGCCAGCCATCAGTTCCAAGCAATTGATGTGCATGGATCGTTCTGACCGAGTCCAGAGACCCCCCGTGGAAAGGCCGGAGCAAGTGGCTCCCCAACCTAGGAGGCTGGCATCGGACTCTAGGACGAAGTCTGGTTGGCGACCGAAGATCGCTTTCCCATTCCAAGCTTCCATATTCTGGAGCCACCAATCTAACTCTACACGAACGTCTTCTGTAAGGAGTATAGGTTGGTCGTAGGAATGGGATCTGCACAGATACTTCGTCTTGAGACGCTGCATCGCCCTGTAGTGTAAAGGGCCAGGGAAGATGGCCTGAATGGATGCGGACAGGAGTCCTATTATCCGCGCCAGGTCGCGAAGGCATACCTGATGAGAGGACAATAGCTTCCGAATGTCCTTCTTGATGGCTTTTATTTTCGCCATCGGGAGTTGAAGGATTGATCGAACGGAGTCGATCTGGAAGCCCAGGAAAAGGATGGATTGTGATGGTATCAGAGAGGATTTTTCCAAATTGATCACAAAACCAAGGTTTTGTAAGAGACATTTGGTCATATTTGTATGTTTCCGAAGCGTATTGGGATCTTGTGCCATGATCAATATATCGTCTAGGTAGACGATGGACCGGATCCCTTGGGATCGGAGAAGAGCCATAACTGGCTTCATTAACTTGGTGAAACACCAAGGGGCGGATGAGAGACCAAAAGGGAGGCAGGTGAACTGCCAAAGCTCTTGAAGCCATATGAACTGGAGGAAAGGGCGGTGACAGGGTGCAATCGGTACCGTAAGGTAGGCATCCCTGAGGTCGAAATGGGAGAACCAGTCTCCCTCGCAAAGGAGGTCTCGGAGTAAGTGTATGCCCTCCATCTTGAAGTGCTTGTACACAATGAATTGGTTTAGCCCTCTCAGATTGATGATGGGGCGAAAGTCGTTTGACTTTTTTCGAATCAGAAAGATGTTGCTGACAAATCTGAGGGGGGATGAAGAGGGTTCGATTGCGCCCTTGTCTCTGAGTTTGCAGAGTTCTGCATGTAAGGCGGTGGTGTCCGGCTGGGACATCCGTATGGGAGGGGGCAGTGAGTCCTGTATGGGGTCGGTGATGAAATCCATAAGAAAACCTGAAACAGTCTGAAGGATCCAAGGATCCTGAGTGAGAAGAGACCACTGTGGGAAAAACAAGTTAAACGGCCTGCAATACGTACTAGAGAATAAGGTAGGTGCATTACCTTGAGCAGATCGACCCCGGAGAGAAGCAGAGCCACGTCCTCTGATTGATCCTCTGTTGGTAAACAGTTGTCTATGATAGGGACGGGCATAACCAGAGTTCCAAGGTTCACTTGGTCGAGGCCTGTAGCCGTTGAAGGCAGACCTGCCGGTAGCTCGGCCTCTGTGGCGACCGGCTCTGCCAGAGAAACGGCTGGTTCGAAACACCCTGCGAAGGGAGGTCTGGGCCTTGTTCAGTGAGGTGAATACAGATACGTGTCTGTTGAGGTCCCGCATGAACTGGTCCCCAAATAGGAGGCCGTTGGCCTCTGGGCCGAGTTCTTTGGAACCCAAATCTGCCAATTTTGCGTCTATTTTATATAGCGCAGCTTTCCTTCTTTCAGTGGACATAGCCACGTTAGCATTCCCCAAAAGACACAGGGCTCTTTGGGCCCATTCACGTACCAAGTGTGGGTCCAAGGTACCTTCAACAATGGCATCATCTGCCAAGATAAAAATCTGGATAATGGGGCCAGCAATATCCAATAATTTGTCCTGGACTGTTTTGAGGCCCTGTTCCAGGCCTTTGCGTGGGTCTTTTCCTGACTTGCTGAGGAAGGTAATGAGGAGGGGATCAAACTCGGGAGTTAGGGCGACCTTATCCGGAATTGTAGGTCGAGGGCATTCAGCCCGTAATTTGTTCCTGATCTCCTTCTCTAGCGGTTTTCTGAGCCACATTCTGCAAAATTGAGCAATATGGCTAGGTGGTGCCCATTCAGCGGACCGGGGGTGTTTGATTATTCTGGGATCAAACAGGGGTTGGCCGTTACCATCCAGCAGGATGTCAGTTAAAGGATCCTTATTTTGTGATGGATTAGTGGGCATGGGGTTAACCACGAATGGCTTGGTGTAGGATTCCTTGACATACCTAGAATTACCCAGGTCTTCTTCGTCCGAGTACCCTGCACAGTACTCGTCTACGACCTGTAGGTCGTGTGCTGTGGAACCCTCTAAGGGATCCAATAATGGAAGGCTTGAGGAGGGAAGTGACAGTCTAGCATTTTTGGCAGGTGCCTTGCCTTTACCGGCGGAGACACTGTTGCCCTTCCAGGGACGCTTGCGCGGAGCCCCGTCATGGTCAGAATCGTGAGACTCTTCTGAGTCGGAAATATTTAAAGCAGTAGTTGGCCTTGGAGCAGGTTTAGCCTGTTCGTGGTAAGCCGCAATAGCTTTGGGCATGGATTCCGCTATTGCTGAAAAAAGCCAGGATTTTAATTCAGCAGAGACAGTGTCCTGTTGTTCAGACATTATTAACAAACTTGAAACACAAAAATAATAAACTTAAAATTGTAAGACAGGGGGTCACCCTGTGGGGATGTAGCAGGGGGTCACCCTGACAATAGCTGGGGGTCACCCAGGAATAAAAAAGGGGGTCACCCTTATAGTTAAGTTTGGGGGTCACCCAAACAAGCAAATGGGGGTTGCCCAAGATGCAAAGAAAAAAAGTGGAGTCACCCACTGCAATGTCACTGAGACACAAATTAATGGAAAGCTAGGTAGCAAACGGAGCCCTTAAGGTACCGCTGTAACCACAAAAAAACAGGGGTCACCTGTCATTAGCAAGGGGGTCACCCTTGTGGCAGAAAGTGTTTGGCCTGATGTCGGTGATGGCAGGAAAAAAAAAAAAAAAACACTTTAAAGTTTGTGAACAGAACCTGTGTGAAGTAAAATAGGGGATTTTTAGAATAAAATAGAAAATAAAACAAATAATATGTGTATATATGATAGAGGATAAAGTACTTACCTTGGAACTGGCATGCAAAGAAAAAGTGGAAGTACACCTTTAAAATTCGAATGAGATCACTTTGTGAGAAACTGACAGGCAGAGAACCGTTAGTGAGGTAAACTGCCGCACAGTGAAAATGGCCGCCGGCTAGTGCAGAGGCGGAGCCTGCGCTTTGATGAAAAAAACGCGGGAAGCAGGTACAGAGAGACCCTGCTGTGTGAGGGCTGACAGGCAATAAACAAAGCCGCGATCAGATCGCGGTCGGCGGAAAGGAAAACGCCGTGGGTGGTGGAGGGAAGCCACGGGCTAATAAGCGGGGAAAATGTAAACAAAGCCGCGGTTAAATCGCGGTCGGCAAGAAGATCGCCGTGGGTGGTGTAAAAAGGGGAATAACCCTCGGTGGGATCTCCCAAGGGGTATTGAGTGCCCAGAAAGGGCAAAAGGTCCTGTGGGCCGACCAAGGTCGGCCCCAGGAGAAAGGGGTAAGAAAATATACAATTATGGTACAGAAATAAATAAATTTAAATTTGTATAAAAAATTCTTATAAGGTCTGAAATCAGAATTGACTCACCTGGGAGGCAAGCAGCAAAGAAAGAGGAATTGGGAGGAGTTTCACAGCCACTTATTAACCCCTTCAGGACGGGTGACGGACGAGGTCCGTCACACAGGGGAGACCCTTAACGACGGGTGACGGACCTCGTCCGTCACGCGGTAAAATTAACCCCGGATCGCCGCTATCGCGGCGATCGCGGGGTTAATGGTGCTCCCGGTATGCCTCTGCATTGGAGGCATACCGGGAGCACCCGGTCAAGCTGCCCAGCACATGTGCTCGCTCTGACCACAAGTCGAGCGAGCACATGTCTTCTATCACCTACCGGCTCCCTGCACTTCCGGGTTCTGTGTGAAGTGCAGGGAGCCGGATCAGTGCTGATCCTGCCCCCTGCTGGAAAAAAAATAAAGTTTATTTAAAGTCCCCCCCCTTACCCATTTTAATAAAAAATTAACCCCTTCCCTGCCAATTGATCACTGACTACAGTGATCAATTGGCAGGGATTACATTTTACTATGATCTGATTTTTTTTTTTAACCCCTGAGGGTTAATTCTTTTTTTTTTAACCCTCAGGGGTTAAATTAATTAAATTAATTAATTAAATTATTTTTAAATTATATATTTAGATAGCTGGGGTAGGTGGAAGTTAGTGGGGAATTGGGGGATTTGACGTTAGGCTAACTAGGGGTTAACGTTAAAAAAAGTTTTAAAAGAAACTTTAAAAAGTTAAAAATTAAGCTTAAAAAATGTTTTAATAACATTTAAGTAATAAAAACAAAAAAACACACTTTACCTAGTCCAAATAAAAATTAACCCCTTCCCTGCCAGTCGATCACTGCCTACAGCGATCAAATAGAGATCACAGTATTATACTGTGATCTAATTTTTTTTAACCCCTGAGGATTAACTTTTATTTATTTTTTTTAACCCTCAGGGGTTCAATTTATTTAATTAATTAATTTAAATATTTTATAACTATATATTTTGCTAGCTGGGGTGGGTGGGAGTTATGGGAAAATGGGGAATTTACTGTTAGTGCTGCGTACTGCTAGTTAGGGGTTAACAGTAAAAAAAATAGCTTAGAAAAATGTTAAATCTGTAAAAAAGTTTTAAGAAAGTTTAGGAAAGTTTAAAAAAAATTTATAAGCAAAACAAAAGTTTAAAAACTAGTTTTTAAAAGTAAAAAAGTTATAAAAAGTAAAAAAATACATTTTAAAAACGCTCATTACCACTACACCTGGAACAAACTAGAGAAAAAATTATCCCACGCCAAGGTTCAAAATATGCCTTTTGAATTACCCCAGGGTGTATTCTTTAATAAATAGTATGTGTTTGTGGGGAAGTTTCAATAACCAACCGTCTAAACTATTCCAAATTGGAACATGGACACAGCGTAAAACTTCAAAGTTAGAAAAAAACTGAATGGCTGCGTCTCAAATGCGCCCCTTCAACATCCACATATACCTGGCAAAGGTACATACGGGGGTATTGCTGTACTCAGCCGACATAGCTGAGCAACATATGAAGTATTATACAGTCATAGCACACATAAGGTTTGCAAAATATGCTGCGCAAACTCACTTTGTATGTCAAAAAGGCAGAAAAAATGCTTATTACCACTACACTTGGTACAAGCTAGCGGAAAAATGATCCCACGCTAAGGTTCAAAATATGCCTTTTGAAATACCCTGGGATGTCTTCTTTAAGAAATGGTATGGCTTTATGGGGAATTTGGATTATATAGCCTGGTAAAATACTCTAAAATGGGACATAGGCACAGCATAAAAATTCAAAGTTTGAAAAAAACTGGAATGGCTGTGTCCCAAATGTGCCCCTCCGATGTCCACACATACCTGGCAAAGGTACATACGGGGGTATTGCTGTACTCAGCCGACATAGCTGAGCAACATATGAAGTATTATACAGTCGTAGCACACATAAGGTTTGCAAAATATACTGTGCAAACTCACTTTGTATGTCAAAAAGGCAGAAAAAACGCTTATTACCACTACATCTGGTACAAGCTAGCGGAAAAATGATCCCACGCTAAGGTTCAAACTATACCTTTTGAAACACCCTGGGGTGTCTACTTTAAGAAATGGTAGGCCTTTGTGGGGTAGATTGAATTTAAAACCTGCGAAGATGCTTGGAAATTGCACATAGGCCCAGCGTCAAAATTCAAAGTTTGGTAAAAACGGATATGGCTTGGTCTCCTATATGGCACTGTAGCTTCACAAAATAGTGACAAAGACATTCATTGGGGGTGTATTTTTACTCAAAAGACTTAGCTGAGCATAATTTGGGAGGTTTGAACTTAGTGGCACATATGAAATATACAAAACGCCCAGCAAAAATGCAATCCGTATGTAAAAAATGCACAAAATAATTTTTTTACCACATACTTTGGCATATATTGGTGAAAAAATGGGGGTATGTTAAGGCACAATATGCACCTTATAAGATACCCTGGAGTGTCTACTTTTACAAATGGTAGGCCTTTGTGGGGGGTTTTTGAACAGTCAAACTGTTATAATACCCCAAATGGAAGCTAAGGCTCATTAAATCCGTCTCTCAAAATTCTACTGTGAATACTGTAAAGGACAGGTCTCCTATATGGCACTGTAGCTTCACGAAATAGTGCCAAAGACATTCATATGGGGTGTCATTTTACTCAGAAGACTTAGCTGAGCATAATTTGGGGGTTTGAACTTAGTGGCACATATGAAATATACAAAACGCCCAGCAAAAATGCAATCCGTATGTAAAAAATGCACAAATTTTTTTTTTACCACATACTTTGGCATATATTGGTGAAAAAATGGGGGCATGTTAAGGCACAATATGCACCTTATAAGATACCCTGGAGTGTCTACTTTTACAAATGGTAGGCCTTTGTGGGGTTTTTTTGAACAGTCAAACTGTTATAATACCCCAAATGGAAGCTAAGGCTCATTAAATTCATCTCTCAAAATTCTACTGTGAATACTGAAAAGGACAGGTATCCTGTATGGCACTGTAACTTCACGAAATAGTGCAAAAGACATACAATGGGGGTGTCATTTTACTCAGCAGATGTAACTGAACACAAAATAAAACTTTGTACAGGAATAGCACACACCAACTTTACAAAATATACACGAGAATTTCTCTGTTATAAGTTTGTGTGCCAAAAACCAAAAAGAACACAATTTTACTCCAATATTTAGCAGAGGTTGGCGGTAATATGGCTACGTAGAAAGTGTCAAAACAACCTTAGGTAAATAGCCCGTGATGTCTACTTTATATAAATATATACTTTTGTGTGGCAATTTTGTTTTCTTTTATGGCTATTAAGCTTACAAGACAAACATACCAAATTCTAAAATCGCTCCACATTAAAATTTTATTTTACTCCTTGTGCTTTGTGACCTGTAACTACCAAAAAAAACTTAAAATCCCAGACACATTATATATTCTGTAAATCAGAACAAATAAATAAATTTATTTTTAATTACTTTCCTTAACCTGCACTAATTATGCACACATTATTATTGCAAAAACTGTAAAAAAAAACCAATATTTTTCATTTTTTTTGCATTTTTCTGTATTTTTTTATAATAAGTAAGCATTTATATATATATATGTTATATCAAATTAAAGCCCTTTCTGTCCTTTAAAAAACAGTATATAATATGTGTCGGTGCAATAAATGAGAGAGATGCAAATTGCAGTTGAACGCAAACAGCAAGAAAATGCAAAAATTGCTTGTGTCATTAAGCGTAAGTCAAGCTTCTGAAGCTGTGTCCTTAAGGGGTTAATGACTAGATGTGTTATGATTGGTTGTTTCTTTTTTTTTTCAATCTGTTAACTGTTTCTTTGCTGCTGGGAGGAACAGTAAAGGAAGTAAAGCAAATATGAAGCCTCCTGTCTTGCCATAAAATTCCAACAATGCAATGCCAGCTGGGGATCTACCATTTGTCCATTTTTGCAGCGTTCAGGGTTGTATTTGTGAGCAGTGTTTGTGCATTTGAATGTGAGCATGTTGTTGTATACAGTATGTGTGTGCATGTAGGGTGTAGTATTGGTGTTTAAGTGTAGGGATGTGTTTCCATATACTTTTTGCGTTTGAATTCAGGGGTGTGTTTGTATGTAATGTTTGCAGGGGTGTGGTTGCATGTTGTGTTTGATTGCCGTGATGTATGATATACATTCACAGATATACATACACATTAGCACACTGATACACGCACACATCTGGACACATGCACACACTGACAAAGACTGGCGTATATACACACAGCCACATACATAAATACACGTGCACACACAGAGATAAAAACACTGGCACATCCACACACAGAGATACACACTTACACACACTGACACAGATATATACACAAATACATATGTATTTGTGTGCAGTGTTGGCGTAGGAATGTTGGGATGTATGCATTGTCACACAGATGCACTCTCACACAAACAGTGATACACACAGGAACACAGATACACCTGCAGTGGTGTATTTGGTGCATTGTTAATGTTGGAATGCAGAGTTGTATTTGTGTGCAATGTTAGATGGGATGTATGCATTGCCACACACACAGATACACACTTACACATACTGACACTCATACACACACAGGTACATATACACAGACAAGCAGGTACACATACAAACTGACACATAGGTATTCATACACACAGATACACATAAACACTGACACAAAGGTACATGTTCACTGACACAAACACAGCCAGATAAACACACACTGACACAAACAGCCAGATACACACTGACACACACAGCCAGATACGCACTTACACACAGAGTGTCAGATACACACACACACAGTCAGACACAAACACAGACAGATACACACACACACACACACACACAGTCAGATACACACACACAGTCAGATATACACACATACAGTCAGATACAGATACACAAACACACAAAGCCAGATAAACACACACTGACACAAACAGACAGATACACACTGACACACACAGCCAGATACGCACTTACACACAGAGTGTCAGATACACACACACAGTCAGACACAAACACAGACAGTGAGCTATACACCCACACAGTCAGATACACACACACAGTCAGATATACACACATACAGTAAGATACAGATACACATACACAAACACACACAGATATACACACACACACTCACACAAACACACACACACACACAGAGTCATATGAATTCACATAGTTTAGCCACCCTCCTTACCTTTACAGAAGTGTGGCTTCCCTGTTGTCCAGTGGGAGCTGGATGGCTGAGATTGATGGGAGTCTTCTTTTTCTTGGTCAGTAACTCCTCCTGCTCTCCATGTATGCCTCCTCCTCCCCAGGCACTCTGTTAATTGGGAGGAAGTGACCTCACAACACTTCCTCACAGCAGGCAGGAAGACAGGGGCTCGGTCAGGAGCTCTCTTAAAGGGCCGGGGGCCCCTGATTACATCATCTGCTGCAGCCCACCGGGATATTTCTCAGTATCCCGGTGGGCTGTTCAGACCTGGCTGCTGGCAGGGGGCCCACAGGGCAGCTGCTTTGGGCCCCCCAGGAGCAACTGGGCCCGGGGCAGCTGCCCCGTTTGCCCCTTGATAAAGACGGCCCTGTTGTTTGCACATGACTGGAAATAATGACAAAATCCCCCTTTTTACACCACCCACACTTAAACATAATAATATAAATATTACTATTTTAACGCTGCCACCACCAAGACAATTTATAAATGGGGTGCCTTGGTCCCCCAGGTAAATCAATAATAAAACCCACCAAATATTACTTAATACAATACTTAAGGAATTGCCAAAATACTAACTAGTCTCTTCAGGTAACGTGATTCTTAACCAGACAAAGGCAGAATTTAATAAATTAATGTTTATCATGAGCAAAAATAGTCACAGCGCATATAACAATATATGATAAATTATTTACACCAACAACAGATAAAAACAAAAAGGATAAAATACAGAAGTCCTAATTACTCACTTAAGTTTTCAAAGTACAACTTCTGTCCAGGGGGTCTCTGGCAAGGAAAGATGGCGACTCACTTAGAATTAGATTCTGACCCCCAAGCAAGTACATAAACACCCTTCAGGATCATTAGAGATATACCCTGTGGATTACCATGCCTCACCCAGAGGTGGAGTTAAGGCGTATCTATAGAGATACTAAGTGACAAACCCCTTGTGTCCAGACCCACATCAATCCAAATGGAAACATTTGGTTCTATCTTATGTACCTGCCACAGAAATAATAATTGCATCTATGAATTTATTATTTTCCCATTCCATAGACATGTTGCACGCCCCACCCACAATCCAATAGGACAGACAGCACAATTCCTGCCACACGGTTTATGTTGTGCAACTCATGTTTGGGCTTAATTAAAAGATTGGGCTTGTCCCATTCCAAATATAATAAAAATGAGGCTTAATTATTAAGCTGTGGGTAAGTATTAATGTTTCTCTTGTATATGATACTGTAACACAAGGGTCTTCATGAAACTAATACCATTACCATATCAAAGGATTGAACTATCTCTTACAAGGTACATGCCAAATGGATGAAGAGACATTCAGACTTTTTCCAAGTGTAGAACCTCACGCCTTGATTATTTCACATCCAAATGGTAAAATCCTTTTCACATTGCTATGCCATTCATACTACCCTTCTGTCATCTGACCTCTATGGGGTCCCAGCTTCAAAAGATGTAACCCCTGTTGACTACACAAATTACATTAAAGGACAATATTCCATAGTGTAATAAATTGTGCACCCTTACCGTGACAGTATGCACATATACACACACTGGCACACATACAGATACATAGAAACACAGTCATACACAGATTCAAATACTGACACACATACAGATACAAACACACATAGAGACACACAGGCATACATACTGATACACATACATACAGATACAGACAGACAAACAGATACACATACAGATACACATGTATAAGTGTGTTTGTGTAGTGGATGCTCATTTCCCATCCAGCAGCAGCAGGTCCTCTGTTCTCGCGATCCGTGAGAGCCTGCAACGCTCTCGCGGATCGCGAGAACAGAGGATGCTGCTGGATGGGAAACTCTGGATACTCTTGTAAGCAGCCTGGTCCCTTTACATAAGACACAGGGGCTGCAAAATGCCACCCATGTGAAAGTGCGCCCTGGGCACCCCCCCTAGTGAGTGGCACCCGGGCGGACCGCCCCCCCTCTGCCCCCCCTTAGTACGCCACTGGGCATAATGACCTATAGTCCCTAAGATAACTAAGATACTAAGTTACTAAGATAACCATTGAATAAAAAAGCAGAAAATAAAATGAGAACCAAAACATAGCTGTGCCTCAGCATGCCAACCAACTCCTTGTCATAGGGGAGACCGAATCTGCAGCAGCAGAGAACCATGTAAGCCTATTATCCCCCCATCCACAGGGCTCATATAACTGCTAAGAACCATGAGCAGTTACCAACCAGCTTTAATCTAATGCCTGTAAAGTATACCGCACTCTTGTGTGGGCCTGAAGTTGGCCAATCTTCACAATATAATTTGCAGAAAATAAATGATGGTCCAGGCACTCAAGGTAAATCCAGTGAGCAAGTTTATTGGAGCAGATGAAAAGCAACATTTGGTTCACAACAGGGCCTTTGTTAACCTCATTCAGGTTAGCCTCAATTGGTTTTGCCAATATTGGGATTTATTGTATGTTTAGCGCTCGGTCATGCTACAATGGGGGTTAAAAAATCATATTGCATTTGTAGTATTCTTTTCACATATTTGTGGGTTATAGCATCATGACAGGCTGTCGATGTTGTGATATTCTAATCAATCCATGTTAGTACAATGTCCTGTGTTATGGTACTATAATTATGATACTTTCAACTTGAATATACCTTAAGTTGTGGGAAGGACAAGGGTCTCCTATAGCATGTAAGTGAAATACGTATACTTTGGCGCCTCTATATATGTTTACCCTTGATGCACGTTTCTTTTGGCTATTTCATGCACTTATGTTCTGTGAGTTATTATAGTGTTTAAGGCTATACTTACTCTATATTAGATCATTCAAAGGTAATGGTAAAAAGATTTTAATATAAACTGTAATACAAAACTTTATTTAACTCCTTAAGGACACATGGCATGTGTGACATGTCATGATTCCCTTTTATTCCAGAAGTTTGGTCCTTAAGGGGTTAAACAAGAACCTGAGATTAAAATAAAGTAAATAGAAAAAAAAGTGTGCATAAAGAAGAGCCGGAGGAAATGTCTCTGAAGTATAATGTAGTAAAGTGGATATTAGGAAATCCTTACAAAAAGACCTAGGTAAGCTGCATGTATATAAGAGTGTGTATAATGTAGCCTGGGTAGGACAAAAAAACATTATACCTAGAGTATTAGTTAAAACAAGCATATCAAACGTGCGGCCCACGGGCCGCATGCAGCCCACAATGATTATTTTTGCAACCCACCTGCCCTGTGACTGCTTTGTGTTGTGTCTGCAACTGATTCTTGTCTTACCTCTCATGACCACTAGAGGGCATAGTGGCGCTCTGTCTGCAGAGCAGGCCAGCCACTCCCCTCCCTCCTGTTCACTGTGCCAGAGGAGCATCTTACTTGCCTGAGCAGAGCAGGGCTGGAACTGAAGGACGGGCAGCTCATCTTAAGATAGGAAAAGATGGGCTTGGGGGACCTTCCTGTGTAGTGTGTTATATTGGGGAAGGGAACAGTGTATTAATTTGGGAGAGGAAGGGGGGCAGTGTATTCGAGTTGTGAAAGGTGGGGCAGTGTATTAGAGTGGTGAGAGAGACCAGTGGGTTAAATTGGGGAGAGAGGGGGCTGTGTAATAAATTGGGGGGATGGAGGTCAGTGTTTTAAATTAAAGTGTATTAAATGAGAGTGGGGGCAGTGTATAAGAGTGAAGGGTGGTAGGGCAGTGTATTAGATTGGGTATGGGGAAATGTATTGGATTTGAGCGCAGTGTATTAGAATGTAGGAGGGGCAGTGTATTAGATTGGGTCTGCATGGATGCTCTGAAAGCTCCCAAATGCTGATTGGCTGCACAGCTTTTTGCCACACATGCACAATTTCCTATGGGAAAGCATTGGATTGCCTGAGATCATCCAGTTTGATGATCTCAGCCAAAATGAAGAACACAGTCCTAGGACTTCAAAATCAACAAGATATGGTCATTTGTTTTTTACAGCTGTGCAACAGCAGTCATTCACCATTTCCGTCCCATTGCCAAACTTTTCTTAATATGTCAAGGTAGTTTGACTGAAACATAAATAAATGCACTCTTTTTGTTTACTTTGAAGCCCTACGAGCGTGAGGATGTCCAGTGTCAGGCACTTTTTTTTATACTGTACCTTTCTAAATAAACCTACGTTTCTCTGAAAACTGAAGTTTTGCGTTTTTTTGTGGCCCACATAAATTTAAACCTTGTTTATTTGGCCCGTGTCAGCCTTTGAGTTAGACATGCTTGAGTTACACAATAAACTAAACGAAAATTGCATAGCTTATATACTGCAGGTAGAGGAAGTAACAGAGACAGGTAAAAGCCTATGGGGTTCAGATAGAATATATTGGTTTTCTGTCCTACCCAGGCTACATTATACACACTATTATATACATGCAGCTTACCTAGGTATTTTTAATATATTATACTTTAGAGACATTTCCTCCGCTCTTCTTTATGCACACTTTTTTTCTATTTACTTTAATTTAATCTCAGGCTTTTGTTTAAACAAAGTTTTGTATTACGGTTTATATTAAAATCTTTTTGCTATTACCTTTGAATGATCTAATATATGAGGTACTTTCAGTAAGGTGGGACTCTACCCCTCTAGGTAGATTCCTCACCTTATTTGTCTCCATTTTCTAATTATATTCTCTTGGGTTATGCCCATACTGCCTCATTGACCCTATTTAAGACAGCGTATTGTTTTTTTTCTGATTCTGTTGTCTCTCTTTCAATACTTACTCTGTACTACTCAGTGTAAATATATGTTGTTCATATAGCATGTATATGGTTTTTCACTTCTAATACATATATTTTATATTTCGGTACATTATAAAGTAGAGGGTTTGTTGTTTTAAGAGGGATATGTTATCTTTGGCTGTGGGGGTAAGAATCCCTAAAGTTTCTGTATGGCTCATTGTTACTAGGTTTTGTATTTCATTAAGTATGATGATTCTCTGTACACTTAACTATGCTACCTAATCTTAAGTTACCATAACTTTCCTCATATTCCTTAAGTTCTCACTATTTCTCTGACATTCAGGGATCCTTATGTTAAATTTCTTCTATAATTTGCAAGTTAGGTATTGCAGACAAGCATTTTATGTTTTTCTATACCAGTCTAATTGTTCAGTTAACTCACTGAGATGACCTTCCTTACACTCATTAGGTTTCTCACTGGCTTAGTGGCTGGTAGGTTCATTGTTAAAACCTGTCTGAATAAGGTAAGCAGGTATTTTGTCTGCTCTTTTAGTACATTCTTTGTATAGTTTAATATGCACCTCTGTTTACCTTTCCCCATCTGTTAGTACCTGAGTCACAAGTAGCTTGGTTCATCTGAATAATATCACTCAAGCCTGTTTATAATTTTTAGAAGATACAGGTCTACTCCTTTAATTCATATTTTTTCTATTACAACTTCTTGCATCCCTGAGATAGGGATATATTTACTGTCTATAGGTCAGTTTCACGGTCAAAGCAGGAGCACAAGTCCATAACTACAAGTGAAGTGTAGAGTGGAGTATTACTCAAAACCATACACAAGCACTGGAACATTGTTCTCCATAGTGAATAATTATATTTCTCTCTCCATTTTTAATCTGTAGGTTGACTCTGAATTTGGTTGATAATATACCTTGCTTCAGGCAATTTTCACAAGTAATTGTAATTGTTTTCTCTTTGCCACATTCAAATGAGGAATATGCCAGGTTTGAATGTGAGAGTTCCAAGGAATGTGCATAGCTTGTCATATTGTGGTATTGGAGTGTTGTTGCTGCAAGGCAATAGTATAAAATGTATAGGAGAATAGAAAGATATATATTGAATAGGAGAAAAAAAAGCAAACGAAATGTGGCTAGATTGTGGATATTATGAGACCAGTTAATTTATTAGTAAGCCTCTGTTTTAATGAAGTGATTAACGATAATTAATGGAGATGATGCCATATCAAGTAAGTAAGTAAGATGATTCCATATCAAGTAAGTAAGTTAGAAGGTTATTGTGCAAATCATTAAGACCCTTCTAAGGTTAAAAAACACAAGAACTGATGAAAGGTGAACAGTCTTCAGTCCTAAGAAGAACTACACCAACAATTAAAGAATGGGGGAGCAGGTGTGTATATATATTGCCTACATGCCAGAGGTCCGCTGCAAACTAGAGATGGCACTGGTATATTAGACCAACACCAGTAATGTGTACTTTATAGGGATAAGAAAAAAAACAGATATACACAGTGTCAGATCATTTCCAGACCCACGTATTAATCATTACACATAGCAGTTAATATCTGCTCTAATGTGAGGGTTGATAATTGACAAATTTGCATCCAGGACTAATGTTACAATCTGTAAAGTTTATAAATATGCCTTATGTGACGAACCCTCCGTCAATCGATGCTCCTAGTGCTCACCAAGGGCCATCAGCACCGCACCAGACACCATAAGCACTGCAGAGCCCACGAAGCGCCGCAGCTTAGTTGGGGTCTCGCCGTCTCCTACCCACCCTGGACCTACGACAAGGCTCCAGGCTCCAGTGAGTGAACCTCTATTCCTTCAGAGAGCGTAGCAGGAACAGCTCTTACAAGAGCTAGTGATTACCCAAGGGAGTATGATGATTAAAGCAGTTACCTACAACACGAGACAAGGCTGCGAGTTGAGGGTAAGGAGATCTGAGAGTTTAATGGTACAGGTTGGATTTTTATACAGTTTTTCAGGCCAGAAGCACACACACTGGACCTGATGGAGGACAGGGACACAAGGGACGTAAACCAATGAAAACAGTAATTAATAGTACGACACTCCCACATACAGTAAAAAATTCCTCCCCTCTGCCTGTGATATAATTAA